CTACAGAATGTATGTAGAATTTGTCCAGTGCTTAATACTGCGTCGATATTCGCACAGGAATTGCTTTAATCCTTCAATCTAAACGACAAATATAAGTCGAATATTAAGTCTAAGGTATCTCACTACATATTGTTTAATTGGACACAGTATAAAGGACTTACTTCTTCAACTGAACGCGATATTTCTTCAGTTAATTCACCGCGTTGATTTGCAGCAGCTAAATAGTTCGATGAAAATCGCCTCCGTCGTTGTATATGCGTCTCCAGCACCCAGAATTGGAAGAATTTTGCGTTCTGAATCGTATGCCGAACTTGTCGAAGCCATAACAAGAACAACAATGCCTTATTTTAACATTTATAAGCACAATAGCATATTTCTGTAGTACTACGCTATAGTAATTTCTGAATTTGATGCACCCGAATTGTCACGTGACGTACCTTTCCAACATCTGAAATTAATGAGCTCGAAAGCCTTTGAAGTTTGCCGGCCTTCCAAACCCTGTCCTCTATTAACTATGGTGTGCGTTAGCAATCTAGATCTCCTATATCTATGATTGACACCACAGTCAGGCCTTAGCCTTGTCACCGAAGACAGCGTGTTATAAAAACTCTACACAGACTTGTCCGACTGACATACCAAATTCGTGACGACGACGGTTCACGATTCAGGACGATATTCCCAATATTGCAGCAATGTCTACCCATCTAAATCCCAACTCGCCTCTTAAAATTTGTATCTAATCTTGAGTGAGTTCATAGCGAGGTCATCCAACAAGGCCATGATTTACCGTCGTACAAAGTGCATTTTTCTCTGGGAACTCGTCGCCAAAATCATCGCTATAAAGTAATTCCAAGTTCCCTTTAATATACGACTAACAACGTCCAGTATTTGTTCGAAGTCATTCAGAAGATCAGATGTGTTGTTGCGAAAACTCAGAGTCTGCCGTACATCACGCGCAGCGAACGTTGATATTACTCTAGGCGCCTACCAAGAAATTCTGCCAATCTACTGTTACTATTTTCTTGTATACAGTTACTACATTGCTGGATTAGCTGAAAAGAATCGTTAAAGAATTCTTCAAGGTTGGGAATATATAACCGATTTCGCGCAGCCATTTTGAATGTGTTTTCTACTCTGACAGATCCGAAATAGCGCTGACCTCGAGTGAAAATAATGCCGATCAAAAACCATCTTCTCCTTTCTTGATGTATAACACGAACGTAAAACTTGATGTAAACAAGCTGACATTTTGACATGCACGCACGAAACGACTTGAAATAAAACACGAACGACTTGATACAAACACAAACGACTTCACATATAAAACGAAGAACTTGATATAGAATACGAAGACTTGATATAAAACATGAACGACTTGATATATAAGACATATAACATGAACGACTTGACATAAAACACGAAGACTTGATATAAAACATGAACGACTTGATATATAACACTAATGACTTGATATATAACACGAATGACTTGATATGTAACACTAACGACTTGATATTATCGTCACGTTTGGAAAAGCATAACACTCCGCCCTCCAGGCGTTGTGTTTCCACACAATTTCTCGTTTTCCCAATTCCACTCGTGTTGATATAACTGTATATCAACACGGGAAATGTTTTATATTTGTTAAATATCATATCATTAACAGAATGCGATAAATACGAAAGAAATGTTTACATGCGGAGATTCCGATTATCGTCTCGTCACGGCAAACGCCCTGTCCCGAATTTCTTACGCATAGGCCTTTAAAAAAATTTACTTGGCAATCTGTTATATATGTAGTACCCCCCCTTCCCTCCAAAATCTCTTCTTCCCCTATATACCTTTTTGAATCAGCGATTTGCTCTCCAATACAGCAAGTATATATCTGCTTTCTCGAGGGTTGCACGCAATTTTCTCCTTATCGGTCCCTATGGAAGACCAAAACAGCTCGAGTATATCTGACGGTATATCTATATCTTCTGGAAATATAGCAAAATCTAGGAACTTCTCTCGTGCACTCTCTTCTAAGCGTTGGAAGCTTACATCAATGGCTGCTAAGAGGTTACGATGAGGATAAGCGTCAGTGGAAAACAGTGAACGCAATCTTTCCAAGTCAGCATTTTCCAAATCCTCTAAAATGTCCTGCCAATCCTGTTCGGTGCGAGAATGGATTAAATTTGAGCCCACTAAAGACAGAGCCAGCGGTAATCCTCGGCACTGGACCAACACTTTTGAAACAATTAGTTGCATGTTTGAACTTAACTTAGACTGTTCACCTGGCGTCACACCGGCATATTCATACAAGAGCGCTCGGGATTGATCATGTGTCATAGTTTCGAGTTCGTAGGCAGAACCTCCTAAGCCGTGGACAACGTTCACATCTCTAGTAGTTATTAATAATTGGCATTCTCCAGATAGGCGATCAAACACAGCAGCGTCGTCAACACTCCAAACGTCATCAAGAACGACCAAACAATCTTTATCACTCTGCAATACATTGGAAACTAGCCATGAAACAATATCTGCTGATGCTTTTTGATCATTTGTTTGGGAAAATTGAAGTACGTCAGACGAGGATGAGATTAGACGAGACTTGCAACTCTCGCTTGCGTATGACAGCAACTCTCATCGCCCCTCATCAACTTTGAGCTGGTTCAAATTTTGATGAGAATTTTTGCTACTCGCAGCAACATCCAGAGGTGCAGCAACGAGTCGGCGAATTGTTGTCAATCAATATTTGGCAAAAATAGAGCTGTATCTCAGTTGAAAACAAACGTGGATTTAAAATACACCTTAATATTTCAAACCGCCAGGTAAATAGACATCTTGAAAATGTACTCTATGCAGCCGTAGCCGGTAATTTAAAAATCCAAAACAGCACAACAGCCTATATAAATCCAGACGAACTGGTTTTTGATAGCGGTCATGGCTGGAAACAGTTGTTGTGCGCGGTTACAGTAGGTTAGGCAGATCAGTTTCAATCGTTGAGGTAGTCATTTGAAATCTTCCCAAGAACGAGAGTAATGCCATTTCAGAGACTCTAGATTTCAAAATTTTTCGCGGACCCCCCTACAACTTGGTGTAGCTAAAAACAGTTAAGTTTAATCGACAGATCGGACAGCTTTTATTTCGAAAGTGGAGACTTTTGCGTAATCCGCGTGCATGCACTGTTAACCAAAGTTTAGTAAGTGTGCGCGTGTACATGCATAGGCTAATACAGACCAAGCTAATAACTTCGGAAAATTATAACTCACCCCACTTTCCCCATTGAAGGAGGCCTGGCAATATCTAGTCAACCGACATCAACTCTCACGCAACTCTTGTTCTCGTTTGACCGGGACATGAGAGTTGAGAAAACTTTCGTGCACAAACTCTCGTACGCTTGCCAACTCTCATCAACTCGCATCCTCGTCTGGCCTGCAGGGCTTTCGGGACAAAACGATGCACATGTATACCGCAAGTCTATTTGTCAAACTTATTTATAATTCATGAAAAAAAAAACACAAAAAGAAATCGTGACCGTGAAAGAGTTTGTGTATCTGATACAAAATCATTAAGATTTACATCAACTTTAAGTTTCCGCCAAATATCATTCATTCATTTTAAATTGTTAAAGTATACGAAAGTTCTCATTAAGACGTTTCACAAACCATTTTTGGCTCGAGTTTATATGTCCGATACACAACACGGGCGCTCAAGTTGTGAATAGTACATGCATGTAATATTAATATGCAGCATGAGAATAAGAGAGCCGCATACAAACACGACAGCGGTTGTATAAATCATACAACAAGGACGTGAATGCTGGAATGTTGTGCATACAGGGGTAGCTTGTGATTCGTCTTGATGAAAATGTTTGTAGTTTCTAAATTTTCTTAAAGATATGAATAATATTGGCAACAGAATGGAAATTAAATTTTACGTAAAACAAAAGTATTTTGTATTAAATATACGAGCTCCTTCACGGTCATGATTTCCATAAAGATGATGTTACATGAGACAATTTTCAACAACAATTCTTACAGCAACGCGCGTTGCAGAATCAATGAAAATCATTTCGTGTAACATTGCTTTATATTAATGAGAATTACAAACAACATTAAATGCATACATACCGTATCTGCTTTTATCCAGGATTGCGCGGCAGGGATATCACTGAACGACACAGTTCCCCCAAGTACTTTAATGAGGACGTTGATCAGTGCTAAGCGGTCTGGGGTTTCACCAATGTCAAGCCAGATAACCTGACGTGACTTTGAGGCATCCAAAGCAACAGCCTGTGCTAAGACGGTCTTGCCGAGGCCCCCCATACCGCGGATACCAATGACGTCGCCACTAAGACTCCCGACCACGCCCACTTTATTCCCCTTCGTAAGTAACCCCAGCACCTTGTCCACTTCGGAACGTCGTTCCACCATTTGACGAGGTAGATTGCGTAATCCATACGGAACTATGACATATAATGGTAATTGAAGTGAGTGGATTGTAGCCTACGGTGTAGACCCCAGCAGAAACACGTTTCGTAAGTGGAGTGCAATTTGATTTGAAATCAAACGCGTGATTACAAAATTGCACGAACCCAAGTTTGATTTCAGAAAAATCTAAAACAAATTTGTAAGCCAGAAACACTACTCATTCCTTATTCGTCCAGTGTTACAGTATTGCAGAAGGAAACCTAAACTAAACGATAACTTTATTGATACTATATCACAGTTTTTTTAAGCTATTCACTCTAGAGGCCCACTAAACCCTATAGTATAACGAGGATGAGAATGAATGGGGATAATTGCGTGCGACTCTCAATCGCATTTGATCGCGAAAATCCATCGACTCGCATCAAATCTCATCGAATTTGAGCTGGTTGCACGAATTTAACAAAATAAGGAGTGTTTACAACTTATAAGGTTTTACAACTTATTGAGAAGGTCCCTACAATGTTGTTACGAACACCTCTGTTAGACCAGATTTCAGATTTTTACGCGTGTACAGTATGTGAACGACATGAACGTCAATCAGTTGCGAGATACAGTGCATTAAATAACCTTCATTCAAAGCTCATTGTCGTTATTGTCTGCCAAAGTTAGGCATATCGATCCAGATATTTAAATTACTACATGCCGAATGAAAAGCAAACCACAAGCAAAATACCTTTGTTTATATAGTAGCCTACGTGCCTGCGCCAAAACCCTGTTGCACAAGGTATCAGACTGCGTCACTGAAGATCATTCTTCCATGCCTGTCATCCTTCGTGTTGTCGGTGATGACTGATTGACTGACTGCATGCCTGACATACATACAAACCAACCCAATTTAATGCCTGACCTACCGAATGCAAGGTGTGTTGCTAAGCCTCCCTTGCCGAGACATTAGCTTGGTCTGTTCTGCCTACGTACACGCGCACATTTGCCAAAAATAGGTACGCAGTGCGTACATGTTGCATGCCATCTGAAACTTATCATGCGCTATAGCGCTTACATAAACCTTTGGTACAACTGGCGTGAAACTTAAAATATTGATCATTCAATAAGTTTAAAATATCAATATATTTATTGAAAAATAGCTATTATGTCAAAATGAGAAAACTTAAGATTCTCACGCGAATTAGCGTACGGTGTAGACCCCAGCAGAAACACGCGAATAGGCAATGTTTTTATAAGCGACCGTTAATAGGTAGGTAGGTAGGTAAAACTTTATTTAACTACGCTAACCCCTACAGCGGTGGCTGATTTCCAAGGGGGGCGTAGATTTAAATAGTTAAAAAATACAATTGATACAAATTATGGTCATACATTACATTACATTACAGTTAACAATACATTTACAAATACAACTAGTATATAATTATTTACAAATTAATTTAATGTTAGTACTGTTCAATATTAAATTAACGTAATTATTTATTAATTAATTAATTAATTGGCCAGGTGTCGTATACATGAATTAAACGAAGCAAGAGTATGTTTGTTTCTTGCTTCATCAGAAAGGCTGTTCCACAATTTCGCTCCTCTATAACTAAGACTTTTTTTAAGATATTCAGTCTTAGGTTTGGGCAAAAAGAGTTTGGTGGAAGAGCCTCGCATATTATAGTAATAAGAGGAAGACGTCCTTTGAAAAATATTGGTTAGTCGTTTTGGCGCCAGTTCGCGAGTTATTTTATACATAAGACTTGCTACGAAATGTGTTCTGCGTTCACTTAAAGGTTTCCATTTCAGTTCGTCTAGAGCAAGCTCAGATTGACCGTGTTCGTTTTTACGGCCAGTAATAACTCTAGCTGCCCTATTTTGTAGTTTCTCGAGTCGATCAGAAAGTGTGGCACCAATGGTGTCCCAAACTTCGCAGCAATAATCTAGGTGTGGAAGTATAAGTGCATTATAAGCACAAATTAATGTATTATGATCCACACAAGATTTTAGCTTTCTGATCGCCCCAATTCCGGATGAAATCTTCTTAGCAATTTTATCAATATGCTTATCCCACAATAGAAATTCGTCAATATGAACTCCAAGCGCTTTTGTTTCTTTGACCTTTTTAATTGGTGTATCACCAACAAATACATTTGGAGCAGCAAGTAAATTATTTATGTTGTACCGAGATCCTATTAGTATAGATACTCAGTTTTGACTAGATTAAGAGATAATCTATTTGCAGTAAGCCATTGTTTAACGTTGGTAAGGTCATGATTTATGGCCACCTCTACATCTTGGATTGACTTGCCAGATACAGTTAGAGTCGTATCGTCGGCAAACATTCTTGTCGACGCGTACTCCAAACTGTTAGGCAGATCATTAATGTAGATCAAGAATAAGAGTGGGCCAAGAATTGAACTTTGAGGGATTCCACATGTAACCAACTTCGTGCCCGACAGAGCGCCATTAACGGAGCACATTTGGGTTCTATTCGCTAAATAGGATCCTAAAAGGTTTAATGATGGCTTCTGTAGGCCATAAAGATCAAGTTTCGTTAAGAGGATGTCGTGATTTATGGTGTCGAACGCCTTTTGTAAGTCCAGAAAAACAGCTATATTAAACAAACCACGGTCCATATTAATGAACCATTCATTTGTACTATCTAAAAGAGCAGAGGCTGTAGAATGAAACTTCCTGAAACCAAATTGACGAGGGGACAACAACTCCTGTGTAACAAGATACTCATGGAGTTGTTCGTATAATACTTTTTCAAAAAGTTTACTTACTACAGGGAGGATAGAAATGGGGCGATAGTTGTTTAATAAGTTTCGTGGGCCGTTTTTAAATATGGGAGTGACTCTTGCTATTTTCCACTCAAAAGGAACAGTTGAACTTATAATGGCCAGATTGAAAATTTTTGTCAATGAGTTTGTAATTACAGGAGCAGCAATGCGAATAATTTTAGCAGGGATTTTGTCAATTCCAGTAGATTTACGAGGATTTAGAGATAACCGAAGTCTGTATACGTTCGACTCAGACACTGTTTGAAAATTAAAGCTACTAGTTGTTGTCGTGATGTAATCCTTGAAATTTCTGTCACCATTGTCGATATTTTTGGCAATATCTGGACCAATATTGGTGAAATAATTATTAAAACATTCCGCTAACTCCGTTGGTTGTGAAATTTGTCCTCTCTGTGTTTCAAGACAATTTATTTCTCTACTTCCTTGTTTACGGTTTAGGATTTTATTCACAGTTTCCCATGCTTGTTTGGGATCATGTTTGACTTTCTTAAATTCTCCTTTATAATATGCTGCTTTTGTTTCTCGCAATGCATCAGTTACGCGATTTC